CCAACCAACCAACAACCACAACAACAACAACAACCACCACCACCACCACCACCACGACGACGACGACGACGACGACGACGACAACAACAACAACAACAACAACAACAACAACAACAACAGAACCAGCAGCAGTGCCAGACATGCAGAGGCCTCCTTACGACAAAGACAACGAACGGGGGCACGAGCTTAACTACCAACAACAGCAATAACGATGGTGGAAAGAGTGAGGGAGTAGCAGAGGCTATTGCTTCATAATGCCGCAATGGTAGCACTCGTCGGCAAATACTGAACACACACACTTGCGCTTAAGGCTTGGGGCTGCGATGTCTGGCTCGCAGCTCTCCATGTTGCACCAAGCTTCACATCCAACATAGCATCTTCCGGCAAGCTGTGAACATCCTGTTCGTCGCTGCAGGATGACATCATCGAGACCATCTATGGTGAGCATGCGCCTTGTACCAGAACAAGCAGAACCCCGAAATACGAGCACACTCCATGTGGGGTATAATAACCCTGTATAAACATCCTTATCCCAAGGACATGGCAAGACTAAACCTAAAGGCGCAGGGTAATTATACAATCCCATATATGACCCTCACTGTGCTTCTTCACATGATGGGAAGTAAAGACCCACGTAGAAACCTGGAAAGCACAACAAATTGAAAAACAAAATGCAAATGAGACAGCATAGTGCTGATAACCACATTAACCACTGACTGAAACTGACAACTGAGAACACGCAGAAACAAACACCACGACAACACAACAGACACAAACAAGACAATGACTCATGACAACGTAACAGCATGCATCCACAAAGATACCAAGCAGTGTTTCCACCACACTGTCAGCACCGCCCCAGCACAATCTGCCGAAAGAGAGCGTATAAACACCAGCGAGTGTCTTTCACATGGTGCATAATCATCTGATGGGGCCTGCGGCCTTTAAGAACCCCAACCTCAGATCTGCAGATTGGGTCGCCGGGCCCATTTAAGATTCGATCAAGTCATAAAAAGAAGCATTAAAGTGATGACACAACATACGCGGTGTCTTTGAAGACACGGGGGAGGGTGCCTTCTCTCTGGTCCTTTCAGGTCCGTGCACGCCAATATGCATGCACAATGGTCTACGTCAGGGCAGACCCTTAGGGTTTAGGGATGTTTAGGGTTTAGGGTTTTTTGACACTCACTCTCGGACAAGCCTGGCCAGGTCTGCAGCGATACTGATCCATCACAGAAGGCAAGGTTTAGGGTCTAGGGGTTTAGGGTTTAGGCCCATTGATTCTGGCTCTGTGATGTTCGTGGTCCCATACCAGGAACACAAACTTCGATGTGTAAGCTAAGCCTGTCTTCCTAAGGCCCTGAAGCAGGAAGTCGCAAACGTTGAGACTCGAGCACACACCGCTAATCAACACCGTTCTCTTATCTTTCTTAATCCGTTCCCCTACTTATACACCCCCATAAAAACGTTGGGGCCAATTCTCACGAAAGAATCCCTGCCCTTTACGCCCTAATTTGCATTAGGGGGTCCGGAGCAAGAGCAGGAGTAAGAGCTAAGAGCAAAAGCAACAGGAAAAGCAAGAGCAAAAGTAAGAGCAAGAGTAGGAGGAAGAGCAAGAGCAGAGCAAGAGCAAGAGCAAGAGCAGGAGTAAGGGCAAGAGCAAAAACCAAGAGCAAGAGCAGGTGCAAGAGCAAAAGCAAGAGTAGGAGTAGGAGTAGGAGCAACAGCAGGAGCAAAGAACAAGCGCAGGAGCGAGAGGAAGAGACGCAGCAGAGCAGAGGCAAAAACCAGATCACGGCGTCAACCGTGACCGCGGGTTTTTTGCGCATTGAGGGTTTGCACCGTGTTTG